TTATTAATTATATTATACCAATTATACGGTTATTATACCATTTTTATTATACGGTATAATATAATTGCCCATCCCTAGCTATGACTATCATAAATTATACTGTTACACAAAAGCTTATTTACAAATGTCACGTTATTTTCGTCCATTGTTTCATTTCAATTAGTACTCTGCGGATTTAATGTCCTTTAATTGAATTTATTTCCGGCACCTTTAGCTAGCCGGCATTCATCCAAACACATGACCGTGCGTACCTACGCTTTTCGATTTGTATTTAAGAGTAATAATGTGGTAGACCTTTTATTACTATTTTTATTATTTATCTTTCGTAACCTCTAGAAATTTTTTATATAGTTCATCGATTACTAGATTATAATCGGTTAGCTACGTACCCAGAAATTACAATACCTGGTGGTAATACAGTACAGTAAAACAAACTCATTATGTCCCAGAAAAGATGGAACGGAAAATAATCCGACCCAAATACAATATTAAGACTTCATTTTTACGATAAAAAAATTAACCAAATTATACAAAATGTACCAATTAATTTGCTCGACAAAATTTAAAGGAATCAATAATTATAAAATTATAAATTATTAAAGGGAAAATATTAAGTTATAAAAGGATATAACGCTAAAAATAATTTAATTATCTACGAGATCTTCAAGAATTTCTGAAATCACTTCAAATCGAATGCAATCATCTTGTGCACCACGTTGTTCTCTAGGCATGATAACTGGTTGATGAGAAAACGAAGAGCACATTGTACACAATCGATATAGACCGGGTTCAAATAATCCAAGTTCAACAGTAGTCGACAATACATCATTATTGGCCTCGTCGTTCAATCCTTGGAAGTAAGCAAATGTGGTTGCATCGGGAACTTCTTCATCATTTAATTTTTGGATAACAATATGAGAATGGCCCTTAATAATTCCTTCATCATTAAGTTCTTGTGGACTGGTATAAAATTCAGTGGTTTGTTCGCTAGAGAATCCAGTTTCCAAATTTTTAACCTTAACCTCTATGGTAAAGGGCGTATTTGCTTCTATTTTTTGACCATAGGTAGGATTAATGATAAGAGCGGAGACCATATGCTCAACGGATGGAATTTGTCCTTGGATTAGGCTTGAGCAGAAACCCGTTAAAAGTTGAGTACCATCACCCTTGATAGTTGCCTTTTTGCAGCTTCCTATACATTGTGTATGTGCAGACACGATTAAGGTTTCAAAAGAGAACAAAATTGCGATAATGGAAATGATGGTGATACCAAATGATTCCATTTTTAAGAGATAGATGTTCAATATAAAGAAAGAATTAAAAAATTTTGAAAGATAGTAACTGTATTGTGAGGATATGGGGAAAGGGTAGAGAAATATGAATAGACGAGCATAGGAGGGTTATAATTCTGAATTAAAGCAGATCGAACCCATGGGGAGGCCACATATGAGTGCTTCAGAGCAAAAACCTGTAACTGATCACAGTAATCAGTTACAGGTTTTCGCTCTGCAGCACACATATATTAAAAATTAGCAATATTACATATATGCTATTTACTCACTAATACTTGGAGACCACATATATTAAAAAATTAGCATTACATTACATGCTATTTGCATACTAATACTTGTGTAGGTTACTACCTTCTTCAATTAATGTACAGTACAGTATCCTCCGAAAGTTTATCACGGTCACACAATAAATTTGTAAATATGCAAATTTAGCAATATATTATTATTACGCAAATTAATAATATGCAACACATCAGCAGTATAAATGGTCATTATTCGGCAGGTACTATGTAAACACTGACGGAAAAAATTTCACATTATTGCCGCAGGTTAATATTAAAATCATT